GGAAGAAATTAGTTACATATTAAGGTCGTCGCCAGGCTAATTTTGCCTGTAGAATCAAATATGTTGTAATAGAATTGTAATCTGCCATTCACAACATAAATCACTTTAATGATCAAAATATTAAAATATAAAATATTAAAATATGTCGATAGCGTTTATCCTCATTTACAGAAACTTTCTTTACCATACAAGCTCTCGTGACAAAGGATAATTCGATATAGACATGTAACTACAATATATATAAAGGTAGATGATGCGTAATCAGTTTTAATTACTTATGTCATCAGTAGTGAATAGATTTTAAGCATGTACAACTGTGATTAATTATCAAACGACAAATAAGAAATCACTATAGCATATATAAGTTGTTTAGATGTGTAGATGCATGTAACTTTAAGATATGGGCAGTGTGCTGATGCTTGTTGATATTGAGAGCCTTCCTTTGTGAGAACACGTTTTGAAATGTTATACATGACTGAGCAAATAAAAATGATGTTAAAATGTACTTTTTAAAAAAAGGAAAGAATTGTGGTCTCTACAAGCAGTAGGACAAATACCACAAGTCATAATAACAAAAGTGACCAATGATAACTATATGTTTGTGATAATGAGTAAGACTAGACAATACATAGGGCTCTACCAATTTTCTCCTTTTGGTAGTGAAACGGATATCATTGTAAACATATAACTAAATCCAAATAAACTACAAGAATATGGAAGTTACGAATGTTGAACAAGAAATACTAAGTAATATTGTATATCAAAGTACTTTTGAAATATTTAAATCGTGATCAAATATGTTATTAATTTTGGCTTGATTTTAATTAAAAGTGCAACCATATAACATGTGTACATACCGGACTGTCCAAAGGTAGGAGGCACAGCTACATATAGCCAAAACAACCAGTGGTAGTAAACGTCGCATCCACAGAGTCAATTTACTGGAGTTACCACTCATGTGGAACTTATAGGATGTCACATCCTCGCTTCACGTCATAGTGGAAACAGGTTCAATTTAAACGTTTGTTATTTAAAAAGGTCTTCTATTTCGGTGGTACACATGTTTTACCAACAGAAGGGGAATACAGCTCGACTACATTTATGGATTTATTCTTCACATCAGATATAATAAATCAATTGACTTCATTTTTCTTAAGATTTCTCCGTCATGGTTCATTTTAATGTCACATTGTGTACCTAAGTAAATGTAGACAACAACTCCCCTTTTGTCATTATTCAATACATTAAGCACAATCATCGCAATTTATAAATGTAGAAACTCAAAATCTAAAAAAAGAAACCGTGACAAATGTGTTGACACAACAAGAATGCACTGTTGAATGCTGCAGAACTTCAAAATATGTATTTTATCAAATAAAAACATGAAAACTGGTTCTAGGATAACATATCAACTGAGTTTAACAAGTAAATGACGACTTAGCGAAAACTCATTTACGTGTATTTTATTATGATGAATTTGTAGGATCTTTTCATTTTATGAAATTAGTGACTTGTACAAAAGCTAAATTAATGAATTGTACCTTGATGAGATACAAATTGAAAATCAGTTACAATAACCTAATGATTAATCGACCGACATTATAGCGCTGTTTAATCACTTTAAGACTTTAGAAATCATAAAATTTCATATGAAATTAATTAATATTTAAAATACAGCAATTATCACATAATTCATGAAGTTAAAATTTAGACTGGTTTAAGTGGAAGTGTAAGGAAAAACAAATCAAACGTAGGCAAACAATTTGTTAGATATTCCACAGACGAATTCACTGGATACATTATACTGGATATCTATTAATGTACCCCAATAAAAGAAAGAGAAATGCGGTCCAGATTCAGAACATAGATCAAACACATATCTAACATTTAAGGTACTCCTTTCACTTTCAAGCAAACAAGGGTTTGGAGCAGAATACAAACGCCTTTAGGTAAAGGGGTGTTACGTTTGATACCATATGCCAGTTGGATTCGTAAAAGATGTAAGTGAAATGATGTGTAATCAGATAATACAGAAACCGAATAACCGGTACATCGGAGAGCGCAATGGACCACTATGTTCACAGCTCCCCAGAACTAACACCAAAACGATAGACATAAAGACAAGATACAGTAAAATAACTGAAATTTAAGAACTGCATCGTTCGATGAAGGACACAAAGGACGCAGCTGGTTGTAGAGGTAAAATATGGGACACACCGGTATAGTTAATTGTGTGCTAGGTACTCGTTATTCGTCTGGCATAAGACAAGAATTTGACCTGTGTTACTGTGTCGATAATTTAGAAACATGATCATCTTTCAGAAACGTGATGTGACTTTTTAATTATTACTATGTTCTTTTTTTCTTTTTTTTAATCCATTTTTTACGACAAATTTTTACATAATGTACAATACACAATATACAAGGGAATCCACACAGAAAAATACACACATACTCTCACACTTGTGTGCTATGACTTGAATACGTCTCACACAAGTACATGCATCAACATCATCATCTTTATCATAACGCACATGTATCTACTAAAAAACACATTGTACATCCTAGACAGAGAGAGAGAGAGAGAATTGGGAGGGTTATAATCATTATTAGATAAAAACAGCACTAATATGCTTTTTTTTATATTTAGCTGACGTTGCCCTGGCGGTCTTCTACAAGAGGTCGAGTTCAAGGTCGAGATTGGCACATATTGTCTTTTTAATTTCAATGTCTCTTCTGAAGTTACAAATAAAATGTACACTAAATCACGTGATTGTTGATCTAAGACACCACATGTATGATACAGTTTTAATACCATTCAGCAGATAATACTAGCTGCTAATGAATATTCATCCACATGTACAGACTACATGTGCCTTTTTACAATCACCAAGAAACAACAAAAACGTAAAGCACCATAACCACTGAAATCGCAAGCAAGTATCAACAACTTATAGGAGTTATTTAGATAGGACATTCCCAATATTGTTAGATCAGGGTAGTATATATATATATTCACATTCCATTGTCGCTGTGGAATCCATTTGTTGTTCCATGCCACGTTTTGTTTTATTCGAATAGTGGCAGGGCTCAGAATATACACATGTACTTAGCACTTTCATAAAATCATTAGACATATGAAAATGTAATTATAGGACAAGTGTTCCCAACCATCTACCCCATAATAGACCCATTCTGGATTTATATCTGTCATATAATCACTTTGTATATCATCAACTGCATCCCTGGCTCAAAATCTAAGCCCTTGTCATCCCTGGAGATTCCTATAAAGAAGAAACATCTGTATTACGCAGTTTTAATTATTTCAATTACTTGCTTCTATTTAACTTAAGTTTTTTTTATAAAAGGTGCTATCCACCTGTGTGCCTTTGCATATTCCAAACCAAAAGAGCAGTCGTTAAATATAAATATATAAATATAAACATTCAAACGTGGTCGTTTATGATATACAGTATTAAAGTTTATTTCGTTACACTGTATATACCCTATCTTTATTAGATTGATGACCTTTAGAAGTGTTTTTGACGTAATGTAGTAGTTTCATTTAAGTGCCTTTCGGCCTAAAATATTGCTTGGATGTTGAGACGTCACGATTGATTTTATAGGGTTCCATAGGAGTATAACAGTATACCTGCTGTCAACATTTGATATTCATTATTTGTTGTGTTTTGGCCAACCAATTGAAAAATACTGATAACATAAGGTATACCTGAAGACGAATAATTTCATCTTTCACAAGAAATCGGTAACATTTCCATGAATTTAGGTGCTCTCTAAATGGTATTGTTGCAAAAAAGGCACTTTCTTCCTTAGAGATAACGAAAGTAACATCCATGGAATAAAAAAATAATTGCTTATCCCTCAATGGACGCTGAAATATTCAAGAAATGCTTTGGATGACATCGACGACCTTTTTAAGACACATTTGCCAATACATCAAAGCAATAACGCACTAAGATCTGGTCACACACTCAGCAAAATCTGGCAAGAGTATATGAGTATGGCACGTACCATTATGCTCAGTGGATACATGGAACATAGCCAGTATGTATCTTATGGTCCGGATAAATTGAGACCAATTAAGCTAACGGCGTGGCTACATGAAACAAGAACTTTGGAAAACAAAAAACATGATGATATGGACTGTATAACATGGCGTCAAATGTTGACAATCCCATTCAATCGTGGCATTGACCAAAAGCTACAAAAATAAACACGTTTTAACTAATGTAAAAACAAATAATTGTTCTATAGATACATTGCTGCTATGTATATTTTATATGGCAACTCATGAATTAGTTCCTTACACTAGATCTACTCGTAATGTTACTATATTCCCTACATATTTTACTTGATAACCACCAAAAATCATCCACTCCTTTATTTCATTTAAGCTTCATCACCTATCCACAAGATGATTTAAACGACTGCAGTATCTATCAGTTCTCTTGAAAAGTGTGACTTTTTTTTATCTTATTTTATTTATTTATTTTTTTGTTTTTTGTTTCTTGAACCTGGTAATTTGATATTACATGATATATCAGATTGTGTCCTTAATTTTAATTACTGTATAACATCAAATAATACTTTATCTTTACGTATAATTGATATTATACGTTATTGTCAAAACAACAGCAAGATGAATTCTTTTATCAAGTATTTTATTAATGTTATAACATAACATTCATCTCAGGACATCAAAAACAATATCTGGCAATGATCACGCATGAATTGTGGCATAGTCGATATTAGTATGCTTGATTATTAGTGCATAATTTCTAATTTATTTATACTCTTCTACTTCATGTAATTTATTAATTGTAAACTTAATTAACTTTTAGTAATGCTCATGGTAACAAACAGCTGAAGGAATGCTATGTTAGTTTACTCAATATGTTTTGTAAAGCTGTCTGACAGCCAGTCATGTTTTGAAATAAGTAAATGTAACGAACGGTAAATTTTTTCTGTCTTTTCGTTTTTTATAAGCACAGAATGATCATGATGATAATAGTGGCGAATACGATGATAGCCGTATTGACAAAGAAGGCGATCCAGTCCATGGCATTGGCAACATCTGCCCACGTGGGGATCATTTCGGCAACATTGTCCAGTTGTACCGTATCGGAAGACAAGGGTTTCAGCTCGGCTTCTCCGTTAACATCAACATGTTTCGCTTCTTTATCATTGTTATCAATAGTTGGTCTGACTAAAAATCCAACATACTTCCATACCAACTTTGCCCAGTGCGGTCGTTCTTCATTGGGATCCTTGAGATAAAGGCGTAGAATAACCACTGAACAGGCAACACAGAATACAGACACGCACAGCGTCAGGGCTAGGTAAAATGCTGAAACGACAAAATCAAGAGGTTTCTGTTCATGTCGATCAACAAGGTTAAGAAACTGAGAGAACTCAGAATCCAAACGATATTAAGGAGTTTTTGCATAAGTTCATTATGCTACTGTGTATAGATATTTTCGACCCAGGTTATTTCCGCCCTTTCATCGTTATGCAGGAATTCACCTCAAGCTCATTTCGTCCTCTAAGAATTATATAAAAGGGATATTTATATAAGTGTAAATTCGCCCTCCTTTTCATGTACCGTTAGGGCGAAATTAAACCATGTATATGGCCTAACTGGTTATCTTATAAATTATCATTCCATGGTATCGAAACACGCGGGGACTATTTTGAAATATATGTTATCATATGTTTTTACAGTAAATCAAATAAACGTTTTTCCTTTACTTACACAGAACGGAAACATGTAAAGACGTGTGAGGCATGCTATCCGCGATCATGGTCAGTAGAACTGCTAACGCTAATAAGATGGTCAGAGCGTATCCTATCTTCTCCCCGGAGTCATTAGGAATCATGAACACCAGTACGTTGAGTATTGCCGTCAGTGTGACTGGAAGTATAATATTAGTCACGTAAAATGCTCTTTTTCGTTCTAGTCTCATTATGTATCTAAGCATGGCATATTCCACTTGGCCAGATGATGTTTTCTCAATAATGACGTCACGATCAACACTGGAACCCAGGTAATTCCACTCACCATTTGGACTGGAAAATAATAAGAATACACGTTAAAGAATACAAGCTTGCTGATTGTTAATTTTATGTTGTTTTTCATTAATATCATTCTTATGATAATTAATGTAACATGATAAACCTTATAGTATTACCATGTGATATGAAACGGTTTGATCATTATATGATTTTATTGACCTGAGTAGGCGGGCGTTGACCTCTGGCATCAGATGCATGAGGTCCAGCTCCTCGATAGTATAAGCCCAACTGCTTAGCTCCAGAATGCATGTCTGGGTGTCAAATGGAAATGACGTCACGTCAATATGACACGTGGTATGGAATATACGTGGGTAGTCCAGGTCAACCCTCCCAGTGTGACTGACTCGGAGAAAGAGGTTCTCATCGTAGAGAACTGATACATCTTCCACACTGGAAAAAAGTCAATTGCTTGTCTAAATACAGAATACATGGTTACAGATGTTATCTTTACACACAACAACATTTTCTTCAGTCTGTATTTCAATGTTATTATTTTTCATGCTTTATATATTTGACTCTAATCTTATCCATAATGTGATTTTGTCAACATAAGATCTACTGTTTAAAAGGAAGACACATTTCCTGTCCTTTCATCTACGATAACACAGCGCTCTAAGTTATCATAATATACATTAACGGGTAAGCAATAAAAAGCGAAATGAAATTACTGCGAAAACATCTTTCTTGTATCTGTACTTTTACATGTGTTTTTTTTTTTTTTTTAATTCAGACTTTACATCCTGTTTGACTGTGAAATAAACCGTTCTCTATTCTTTTCATTTCAGATAGGATTCCAAACACTTTACACTCGGACCTCACAGAGATGTCAAAATCACGTACTGTAAGATAAGAGCTTCAGCACAATGAAGTACTAGATGGCAGAGTTTGATAATCTCGAAAGTATAAAAAGATAATCTTAAAGGAAAAACTGAGGGTTTGTTTGAAACATCATAAACATCTTACACTGGATACAACAAAAATGGAAAAAAGACCATAACTAGGCACTCACTTTCAACGGGTACTGGCAACAAGTAAACGATTTGATCAGTCATTATTATGTATATAAGAGAGACATTCAAACACGCTTCTATTAAATAAAAACTCATCTCAATATTCATATCACCTGTCTTGATAAAGTCGATAATCGTAAAGAAATGAGACGCCTGATCAGGTAACAATCACTAGAATTCAGAAATTAAGTATTTGGCGAGACATCAGGTTCAACACTTTTGTGATAACCCATTCATCTTTCAACTTTTGTTATATAACTTTTCGTAGTATCTTATATGTCATCATTCTGCGCAATTTTATTTCATAGGTGGAATATTACACAGATTTGTGCAAAATGTCCCATCTCTCTCACGTTTACATCATTTTACTCAATTTGCTAGCATCAGCCTGACAGTCTTAAAGCACACTTCATGCACTTACCTAAGACTCAAAGCGACAATTCATTTGAAAAGCGATTTACACAATGTCAATCTGCTATTTGTATTGTCAGAAAGAAAAAATACAATGTCACAAAGTATTTGTAATTTGACATTAAACGTTTACGTAGCATAAGATACTACTGTAAGCACTGATAGATCATCACTTTCCCATCTCATCTTAACGTTGAAGTCAGACATGTTTTAAATATTGTATATGTTGTACATTATTTTTATTAGCTCATCTTCAATATGCATGACACAAATAGGACATACGCAATGATTCGCAGATTTAATTAAAGCTTTCCTTGCCTACCTACAAATGTACTTACACATCAAACAGATATGGCTTTATTCCCTATTAAACAATATATTATCAATGTCGAAAATATACATAAAGCATCACACCCTTTAATAAGCCTAACGATATCTGCTGGTGTATATTTCAAACGTTACGTAAACAAATTAGACGTCACAGACAATATTCTGAGTTACAGCATAATAATACAGCATGTTAATACTGCCTATTACTTAAAAAGGCCACTGCATTGTTTGACAACATGCCAGTGCTGACAATTAATACATACAAAAACTATTTCCCTCTGGGTATATATCCTCAAATATTTGGCATTTCGGGATGATTGTATTGTTCGTAACTTTGGTAAATTGCCTGATGACATAGGATCGTATGATGATGAGGAGGAGGAGGATTTTCATATCGAAATCGTTTGTTTTTCATACTAGAATAATGATGGCTCTTTATTATCTACAAATTTCAGACAACAAAGAAAATGCCGACATATTGACATTACATTTATTGAAAGACAAATCCAATGGTATTGTGGCATAAGAATACAAAACGCCATGTGCTATGGAAAGGTAAGGGTCTTCAGCTTCATCGACGACACCCGCCATACATTTTGGTCAAAGTAAGTAATGGCACAATTCCAAATGAGAACAAAGTAAACAACAACGGAACCACCAAGCATACTAACAAGCATAAAACACGTCAAGCATCATACAAGGAAATGGAACATGTCCCAATGAGATCATTAAAAGGACCGCAAAATGTCCTCTTTATTTTCATTAACCTGAATGTCTATTGCCCTGTGTAGCAAACGTGTCAGCTGCCGACAAATTGCATGAAAAACATTACATCGACAATGAAATGTGCATGTTAAAACAATAGATTTAATGGAAGGTCTGTATCCTTGTCATTAATAGGCAATGTGAATGATTTTATGCTGAAGCCTGATAAGGAAGTATTTCTTCTTTAGAATAATTAGATAATGTGAATGTACATTATTGAGCAAGCCTAGTTCTTTTAGTATACAGGAAATATGTTTACTGACAAAAATCTGATTTTATTCAGAAAATTAACATTGTTACCTGACATGATATCATTACGGTATTGGCTTTGGTATACGTACGAGTTGTCAATGAAGAGTTCAGGGATCCAGATTTCACCAAAAGTAGAATATACATGATCGGTATCATATTTGGCGTCTGGCGTCCATGATAAGCGTTCGTCCTCCCATTCCTGTGACAGCGATCAAACAGATTTGTTATATGATAGATTCTGTTATAAAACAAGCTGCTTAAATGTTGCTTTATAAATCGCAAAGATGAATAATTGTTTGTGGAAAATGTCAGCTGATTGTGCAGAAAGAAAACAAATTACATTAATAAAAACACAAGTCCTGATATTGATTGGTAAACATTGAGCAGTGGTACGGGATTTGAAAAGAGGAAAATTCTACCCGACGCAAGAAACACGGAAGAAAAGACAAGGGTTACTTTTCTTGTGTTGTATATCATTCGGGGAATTATTGTTTAAGTTTTTGGAATAGGAGGATATGTAATGCTATGACTTACCACAGTAAGCCAACCCGTCACAGAGAACTGCTGAGCAGTGTTATCCTGAAACAGACCACATTATTATCATTATTATAATTATACTATAAAGGAGAAAATTGCCTTTGTTCAAGTAAAAACTTGACCAATGACTATATCCGTTTAACACTATCCCTATATATTTAAAAGGACATACCTTCGATAAGGAGATTTTTTAATAAACATATATATTTCAGTAAGGTTAAATGATGTTCTTAATGAGTAGGATCAATATATCGCTGGAAAAAATTGCCTAATGGCCTCTTAATCCTAATGAGTCGACCAATTATAGTCGTGATTCCATCCTGTAAATAAAGTTAGAATGATGGCGTTATAGTTAATTGTTTAGTTTTGAAACGTCTCCCTGAATTTTCACCCCATTTATCGATCGGAAAAAATATTTTGGTAGCTAGTTGTCATGAGGTTGAAAGCCCGTTAATAATTAATACCCGGTCGCATGATAATATTTGATTGGAATTCAACGTAACAGTCAAGAATTAACCATTAAACAGTTCACTGACATCTAATTATTTTATTGGGCCAGGTCTTGTTTTTCCATTGTTGATCATCCATGTCCATTAACAAGGAATCGTATTTGATTCGGTTCGACCTTGCAAGCCCGAAGTTGACCTTACTAGTTTTTTTAAAGTGAGTAAGATTTGATTTGATTTGAACATGTCTGTCTTTTAACTAACCTAGTAAAGCTATTGTGGACCGCACACGCTTACTGAAAGCTACATTTATCTTGTATTGACATTGCAAGTCCGTTGTTGATCTCTTAAGTTCATTGAAAGGGAGCCATCTGTCTTACCACATGGCCTTATCAGTCAGTTGTTGACATTACTATTCTTTTTTTTTATGTTTGGTTTGATTTGACCTTGTCAATTTGTGGTTGACCTTACCAAACCATTGATAGTGAGAATGCTGAGGCCAGCCTTGGCGTGTACAGTAGCGTTAGGACGCACAAGGTAGTGGTATGTGTCCGCCTGTATGTAGTCCTGTCGAACAGCCATCTCTCCGTTCGATGACCAACCTCTTACGACATGGCTACCTACAAGTATGAAAGATAAAGTGCAGTGTCAATTCATTTAGTGAATAGTATCATGGTACACTAAATGTCACAATATTAGCCAAGTTCATAACTTATCACCTTCAAACTCTTTCTGTATATCTTTTAGTTATATAAATGTCGCACGGTAATTGTATCTGCTGGATATTGCATTTAAGACAATACCAATGAGACAACCATAAGACTGGTCTATTTCTCAGTAATCAGAAAACACAAACAGGCAAAGTTAGACAGTGTCGAACCCGATACCTCAGACTTCCAGTTGAAGTTAATTAGACCAGTGCTTTACAGTGAATCTACTGAACTATCTTGGAACCTCTGTATTGATGTATAGATGTTTAATGTAGACAAAAAGAACCTACATCATGTTCAAGAGTCAAGAAATGTTCATAATATGCTTATCTGCGTGAATTTATTGGCGAATTCCTTTCAAACATTCATTCAGCGTAAAAAGGACAACCATATAAAGATAATCAGCACCTTTCCAGGATAACACATCTCCGAATCATGAATTTTTACTCAGCCTTCAATTCCATGATATATGTGGTGTATTTTATATATCTAACAAATATCGATACCCATGCGATGTAAACAAATTTCATAAATCTCTCGTACAATATATACCAGTATTTATAGTACAAAAAAATGTCAGTCGTTTAAGTAATGCATCACTGACACCTGTGTATCATATTACGTACATGTATATATCCACAAAGTCTTTCCTTACCTGTTAATATCGCTGACAAACAAACATACAAAATCTCCATTATTGTGTTTTCTAAACTATATACAGCCGTCGTTTTCTGCTGTCTGGTTTTATTCCTCCGACAATCACTACTCCTCTCTGCTATCGACACTGTAATGTCAGCTCTCTACTCACCCACCAGGCCTGCTATCTACCTGTAGTCAGCACACTGATGCACAGATACCAGACAGTGATGCACTTGCTAATAGCATCAAAGGAGAACAACACCAAGCCCACCCAACCCTTTAATGAAACAAAGTTAGCGACTAATGTTCGTTCACCATTTTATTTCGATATATAATTTTAGTCTGTTTCGTAATAAGAAAAACATTAGAATCCATCTTGTCTAACTTTGGTGTGGCATGGCAGCAGGCCACTACATAATTGTGTACCGAAACGTAGGGTAAGATAGATTACACTGGCATGAATCTTTTGTAAAGTAAACAACCCCACGTATTATCGTGCGTTTTCTTTTCACATTATAACACAATAAAGAAAAGAAAATCGCCGTGATAAAATCACGTTCATGTTACATTGTAACATTGTGTTCAATATCATCCGGTTTTAAGTTGGCTTAACGTTGATTATACACTTTGCTTACATTGTATAGGAGTTATTCCGTTCAATATGCCGAAGTATATTTCCATTATGAAGATTTACTGATAAACCAAACTAAACACGTTCGGATTGAACCCAATCAAGAGAATTTCAATGTGTGTATTGAAATAAAAATAATAAATATTGATGACAATGCTTTAGGCTCGTTTGCTTTCGTACTATCTAGAAATACAAATACTTTTCTTCTACATCAATGCATTGGTTTTCAATATGTCTCCTCCGATTTCAGTTTGTCATGAAACTTATCAAAACTGCAATAGCCACAAGTCTTCCTATTAAAGTTGAAGATTTAGCTATTCGATGGATGTTAAGACGGTCTACCTCTGTAATTTAAAAAGGGAGACAATCATTACTATCCTGTGTATATCTGATTGCTAAGATTTAAAAGGAAACAGAAAAAGGTACCGTGTAGCCTGTTATTTTCGCTGGTAAAAAGACTCAGAAATTAAATATTCGCGATGTAGCTGTTACAAGGGTTCTAATTTTCGTGAACGTTGCTCTCTTTGTCGAATTACAACCTGTTTAACACGTGATTCGAAACAGTACGACATAGCGATGTTTTTTTTATCCGTAACTGATTTCACGAATCATTGTTTTCGCGACTGTGTCAATCCGCGTGTAAGCGAAAAACATCCCCACAAAAATAACCGGCTCTACTTGAATAAAAACATTTTTTATTACAGAAGTATAGGGACTGGCAGCACTTCTGAAGGTAATCTATCAGCTATTAATGAAAAACATACTTCGACATCTGTTACATGTTGTACATGTAGACAAGGCCAGTAAAAGGGTAGCTGTAACACTGATACATCTTCAAATCTTCTATATTTGTAATGAATAATACGTATGATAATTATATACTTATCCTTTATTGAGAATCCACACGCATTTACCGTGTTTTCTATAAAATGAGAACAAAAAGAACTTGGATTACATTGACTCCGCAATGTAGTATCATCCTTGCGCTCAATATCGTAAGGCTGAAGTACTCTTGAAATGTCTGTATTAACCCTAGTTAACGACATCACAGTCACGTGACGCCAAACACGTAGCAGGAAAGTTTTCTCTATAAGAAAGAGTTGTCATGGTTGTATAATCTAGGTCGGCGAAACAACGCGAGACAACGCCTAGTGTACCTCGTAATAGGGAAGAGTTACGGAGACGGCAATTCTGAAATCAAATAACCAAGTTGTAGAACAATCTGTAACTGTTGCTGTCCCAAACGATCGATGATAGATATAACTCTACCAAATCACAATGATATACTGTCTGCTACACCTGGGTAATCAATAATAGTGTGGCTCTACCAATATACCTAACGTAACACAAGTACATGTATGTGAGAACCCGCGAGATAAGTTACAATCAGTCTATAGGATTATAATGGATAACTGTTACATAACGTCTGAGGACGACAAAACGAGCAACTATGTCAATTTTTTATTTTTTTATAATTAGATATACAGCTGATACAGGATACTGCTGTAAGTAGTAACTACAGGTTTGTCACGGATTGACGACAATAGCAAAGCCTACATCAAAATGTTTACGATAATAATTCAATCTTGGATATAGTTTAAACATACGGGGTTATAAGCCAAACATCGGTTTCATATACGCAGGATTGAACGGCAGCTTTTCTCAAGGGTAATACAAAATAAAACTATTTTCACATGGCTAAGAAAAATAATCAGGAAATACAGCACAAATAATTCGTACCCCAGTCCCCCATAGCTACAATCTTCTGGATTGTTGGACGTAGACGCTCAACGTGGATTACTTGCACTGCCGTAACCTGCGTGCTGATATATATAAATTTATGAAATTTATTGAATTGTAGGGTTAGTTCCCCTTCCATCTATATGACCTTTTACTCAATTTCAATTTCCTCAGTCGCCTCGTACGTCACAGGCGAGTCTTAGAAAGACGAACCAGTTATATGACGTAGTTTAATTCATTATTTTGCTATTTCTACATTTGTGTAAAGTGGTGTTATTCACTTGTGTCTTTTGTAATTTTTGTGTTCCAGAAGGGTAAGCGTCTTCTGCTTCATCAAAGACACTCATTCTGTAAATGTTGTAAGCGTCTTCTCTTTTATCCAAGACACTCACTGTGTAAATGTTGGTTCATCGCTCACCTGGATCCTTATGACCACCAGTACTATATCTATGTATATGTTCCACAGTAGATGTTTAAAGCGATATGACAAATTACTCCATATGGGTTCTGTCCCTTAGTAGTCAGCCCCCTCATCTGTGCAATATTGAATTGAGATTTTCTTATGGTGTTTCCAGTTCAATATAATTGATAGCTTTCTTTAAAATCAAGGAAAGAAGATGGTCAAACAATATAGCAGAAAAAACTCTTGGTTATAGCTGGACGGATGACCTAGGACAGCAGAAGCTTGCTTGCCCTTTAGATCATTGTTTACAAACACAGATACAACATATTTGAGACTTGCACAAGTCAACAATATATAGCAACAATTAAATATAAAGACGAAAAAATAAGGAACATGTAATTATAAACCATTATCCTATAATGGGCTATAATGAAGGTGTTAACAAACAGTATGGTGGTAAACCTTTATTACAGATTGATGGTGGGGAAAAAAACCATTGTGTACATTATATCAATTGATTGCACTTTAAATTATGGTAGCTATATATTTTGGTGTTACTTAACAATAGTCTGTAAGATATTGGAGAGGAAATAAAATACACACAAATACATATAAATAAATGCATGAAATCCTTTACATCAATTTTTATTAAGATGTTTTACAAGTCAAGCAAAGAAATCAACTGAAGTAGCAAATGAAGCAGTTACCATGGTTTTAAATGTCAGTAAATATACAATTGTAGTATTAGGCAATAAAAGTGGTTTTATTACAGCACATCTACAGCCGCGAACATCAAACACTTCAGGCAACAGTGAGAAATGACTTTAAATACTTGCTATTCTACTTTTTTATTATTGCACAAATGAGTGTTACCGAAATGTTTCAGAAACTTCAAAGATAAGAAAATTTTAATTTTCATCACAATTATTCAGTTCTCAAAAGAAAAAGATTAAAAAAGTTTCCTCAAAATGGAATGTAAAAAAAAATCACAATGTCACTTCCATTCCAAATTCCACATTAATCTGGATACTCAAACATAACACAATAACAAATAACATTAAATGCTTATTTGTTGATAAGAACACAATAAAGAGTTACACAATAGGAAGATAAAATTACTTAACATATCGTTTTGATTGTAATACAAAAATTAATACTATGGCATTCTGGTGAAAATCACCAAAGTGGAAAAATGCTATTAACATAACAGAAAGGAAATATAAAGCTACAGAAAACACAGACTGAACTATAAATAGTTTTATAACAATCATTATCTTCATATCCTTATGTAAAATATTGATAAAATTGATCAGCACATATCACATTTACATCTTGTGAAATATTAAACTTGATTACATTTCATACTAAGCTACCTGTATTAGTGTATGACCATTATGGATATAAGAATAATTAATTCACAATTACAGAATCTAGTAAACAGCACAAAAGCACCAAAATAAGAAATATTTCCATAATGATATACGTAAGTATATGTTGTGTAGATCTGGCTGATGGAATGACAGACTTCAATGCTTACTAAATAACTGAAGTTCAATTGCAATTTTGTGAACAGAGCTAGGCGTTGTGCTAAATTGGCTCTTGTCAACTTGTCCTAAAGGTGATGAGCAACAGTACGTCACAGCACTAACCATATTGTACGTTTGTCAAGCTAAAGTAACATGTTTTCCTCCTGTTATAGTCCGATCACACACTGCACTTGCCATTTATGGCTTATCATATACAAGATCTATATATATTCTCATTGTGAATGATCACAAAAACGAGATATCTCCATATCACCTGCTATTTAAAGCAAATAATCTTGAAGAAATAATCATAAATAACTAACAATTAACATTAAATTCAACAGACTACAACATGCAGAGCAAAATTTGAAATTTCCAAATTAGGCAATAAGTTGTGGGTAATGCCATGTTCCACTATCACGCATGGCTATGTAGTATAATACTGGCATTAGGCACTTTTGGACATTAAAATGTCCCCTCATTTGTACACATCTATTTTATCTGATTTATTAGAGATTTAATCTCTTATATAACAATGAAGTTATAATGTATGGTTTGTATATGTGATTTGATGTCAATTTTGTTTTATTTCAGGAGATATTGTGATGTTATAACTGACGTGTTAGTCTGGACAGCTATGCCTGATATTTTCTCATGGTGAAAAGTTACAGAAATAGGTGCAGTAATTTACTATTTAAAATTACAAATCACTACCATTCACAACCTTTCTCCAATACCATATTTTATCTTATTGCAAACACTATACAGTCATTAATTTTCGAGAGATTTATATTTTTATTCTAAATCCATGAACATATATGTCTACAAAATAGTAAATTGATAATAGTTGACATAGATTATAGTCATAATAGATTTCGTAATAAAAAATTTAACCACAAATTCTTCTGTCAAACCACTAAATCTAAGCCCCATAGAAATGAACACTTTTAAAGTATATGAATTAGGTTGATGTTAACTTAAACATGTGTCTCTACATATTCAACAGTAATACAAATGTGACGGAGTTATGCCGCTTGAATGGACGTCATAGTCAACAATTAAGAGGTATCCTCATTTTTTGTACATTAGGTGCTAAAAAACTTGTGTAACTTTGTCCTGATGAAGCCCAAGTAGGGCGAAACCGGTAGACAACAAAATCTACGAACCCGACCTCTCCTGCCTGTTGTGATTGATCACTACTACCCTTTATGACATATGTTAACAAGTCAAATTATATGAGTTCATTAGCTGGAATATCAGTTGGGTGAATATAGTTCCAAAATTCACAAAAAGATATTCCACAGATGTAAGAAACGATTATTTGGCATTTCTTTTTATTTTAATATTTGTGTTTGTGTAAAACATCCGTAACCTGTTCTACCTTCAATAACACTGGATATCTAACTAGGCTTTCTGGAGGTTGCTTGGTTTGTTAGTGTCAGCCTTCACTGTTTTGTCATCCAATGGGTTCAGGAAGTCTTTTCCCGTGAAATCACTGACATTGGTACAACTCAATATTGCCGAGTTTGGGACCTGTAAAAACAAAATTCACAACATAAAAATCATATTGTGATCCTATACAATTTGCATAGTGCTGTTTGAAAGAACAAGATAGAAGATACTTCTACTACAATGATATTTTTATATTTTAAATGTCAGATTGTCTTACTAACGCAAATAGATAAATGTATACACAAAACATGTAAAATTCTGAAAACAGCATGCATACATATATCTTTATATTTAAATCACCTCTACATTTTTTATTATCATTGTATGAGATATGGTCAGTACCTTCACTAGTGGTGTATATCTCGGGAAGGGTGCGGCCAGCCTCTCCACAGGGTTATTGCTGGCCCGGTTATAGGCCATTATCAGGGCCCAGCGACGATCACCACTGTCATTAGGATCACTCATGTGTAAGACATTCGAGTGGAAAAACAGGGCATCTCCTATTAGAAATAGAGGACACAAATGGAGTGATCATTGTTAATTAGAAACAAAACATTTGATATGACAGGTACTTTTAAGTTTTTTGAGCTACACTATTAATTACATTTAAAATTCAAAAGGTCCATCATTAAAACATATATCATGAAGATTCAATATGCAAGTAAGATATCATGATATGAAAATAACATGTCAGCAAATTTTCTTAATAAAGTAAACACGTAAATAAAGTAGACACAAGTTATCAGGATCTAGCATCTAGTATAGATCACTGTCACAGTAATTAAGGCGCTTAGAAAGCTACAGTTAGCGTCAATAGAAATAAATACAGAAACATTCAAATCCCTTAATTTATAAATATACTAGTCCCATGTTTTATTGTAGTTACTAGAGATATCTTGAAATATTATACTGGTTAAGTTTCAGTCTTTGTCGTCAGAAAACCCTCATACCACAAGGGAGGTAACTTATAGTGTAGTACTTTTACAAGAACATAATATAACCATAACCATCAGATTACATCAAAGAATCTCACTGGATATCAACAGTGTGTCATATATACACATGTATAATGTTATCATTGTGTCTATGCTGTCCTGACATACCTGCATTCATCTCTACGTAGGTAAGGGGTAATTTTTTACGGATCTCTGCTACCCTTTCCAAGTCTGCACCTGTCTGTCCTGATACCATTTTGTGCTCTATCCGGCCACATTTTTGAGATCCTGGTAAAATCTTTTTGAGACAAGATTAACAATGTTGAAATGAAGATGACAGTGATATGCTTAAAGAACCAGATTTTGGGTATTTAATGATCAACAGGGCATTATCAATTTATATGTGATATCTTAACTCTATAAGAAGGAAGCTGTTTAACAACAGACATGTCCAAAAATATACAGTATAACAATCAATGCCCACATATCACAAGGTAGAGGAAAGGAGATGATTTTGATTTTCCTGAAACATTCGTTAACTCAATTCATGAAGGACACCTACTTGTAGACATCCATTAGCTTTAGTACACTTGTCAATTGCCACAAACACACTGAGAGCATCTGGGGTCAACAGACCATTCTGGTACCAGTATCTAGGGAGCAAAGAAAATAATTACTCACACATAATTGTACATATTCTTATTTTCTAAATCATGCATGAAGTGTACTCGGTGAAGCAAATGAGATAAAACTACAAATCTTTAATAAACATCCATAGAGTTACTATAGATAAACACTGGTATTCAACTCTCCATCTATAACCTACCCAGAGACTAAGGACAAAGTGCCAACCATAAAACTGGAACCAAGTATATAAAGAATTTGGAGTAGTGTCAAATTCTGTAAAGTCCCTGTGAAACTTTCTACAGTCCTGACATACACATGTACCAATACCGTAAATTTGCGGGTATAGTGCGCACTCGGGTATAGTGCGCAGGTACTTTTTTTGGGGTCAGATTCAAAAAAAAAATTTCTTCTTCCATAGTGATGTATATTTAACAACACTGCTATCAGTGTACAGGAAAGTCATGGCTATATTGTCTCCATAGTGATATGAAGTGACCTTGCTATCACTGAAACATAATGTCATGGACACAGTCTACACATTGATAACAAACTACCTTGAAGTAGGTGTCACTGTGTATAGTTATTTAGATGATTACCAGATAGTGGTACCATATGGATGTAACTTTAACAGTTTTATATCCACTACTACAGTCTTTACCACTACTAATTTTACAGGCTTTTATGATTTATTACATCAGTTTAAACTTTATCCCTAGGCCCATAATCCTGAAAAAAAACTTGCCCACAGTCCTGATATAACCTGTTTACACAGAGCCCTGAAGTGATCAAAGTCACAGTCCAGGTATGATGTACATGTATCTACTCCTTATCCTATCATAATCTATTCCCCAGCCCATAACCATGACAAACCCTACCATTAGTCTGGACATATCCTACCAAGAGTTCTAATATAAATCTGACATATGCTACCTTTTATTCTGATATGACTTGCCATTCAAATAGTCCTTCCAATCGTCCTGAGAATACCTACTCATTGTCCTGGTATCAGTGATCTGTTAAACCCTTCCCATTGTCTGAAAAAAACCCAATAAATTTGACATAACCTACTGTACCCATAGTCCTGGTGCCATTCCTGTCGTCCCCCAATAAATGGCTCCTTCATTACTAATTTGGAGCTGTAGTGGTACACTTCCCCTCCAAGTAACTAAAATAAATAAAGAGACAGTTAGTAAATATTTCAAATACTTACATTTTGATTTCAATTCTAATCAAGATTAAAAGCAATTAAAAACAAAATTTTGGCATGATTACATTTAGCTTCTTTTTTGTTGGTATTTAAATACCTAAACATCTGGTTAAATGCTTTCATTTTTTATCACTTATCTGAAATTAAATTCCATTCATGTACTAGAGAAATCCATGTGACTGTTACCTTTTCTGATGTAGTCACAACTTTCTCACAGCGACAAATCATACCAGTAACATCACTTCCTGCTGCTCTCCACAAAACCATCTTCGGCATTCGACCTGATGAATCTGGAATCTAAATCAAAGTCTATAAAGTAAATACAAAGCACTGCAAGGTATTTTCATAAAAGACATTACAATTGATTATTTGTCACATATAATGGCCAATATAATGCCAGTTTTTTTATCTTAGATTTAAAAGTTTATCATTTTCCCAAACAGCATCAAATGGCAGAAATATATCCCCAAATACCTGTATCATCAACATTTATATATATGTGGCTACATTTTCCTTATTCTAGGGGTAGTTGGGTGATACAGTTTTAACCCATTCGCCTTTCACCTAGACATCCAGTATTCAATTTCTGGAAAGGATGTGAAAAGGTATCAGATCACCTGTCCAACTACATAAAGTTCCCTGGGTACTTCGGTTTCCTTCCACAATAAGCCGAGCCAACAAGAGTGATTAATATAAGTTGGTAAACTTGTTTAACAATTATTATAAAATAAAGTTTAATTCTTATACTAGTTGTCATGAGCTGCTGCACTATTAGATAAATACTCAATACAGAAGAACAATTTGTTTGGAGGCTATCAAAATGAATTTGGAACAAAACAGCATGACCAAGACACCAAAATTTGATGACAATGACTGAAAAACAAGCTTTTAAGTAAGCTTTACATTGTGTGTTATGGTCAATTCAAACCAAGTTTACAGATTTTAAGATATAATGATTATTTAAGTGTAAAAATTGCTTTCAAATTTATTAATGAAAATCGTTTATCTTGTCATATACCAGTAATTATTATTTTATATCAATTTGTAACATAACGGAAGTAAATCTATGTTAAAATAGTCCTTCAATAGGAGTTTCATCTTTTCAATGTGATGTTACTGTGCTCAACTGAACTTGGCACTATAAAACCATTGGCTGAGAGGGCCCATGTACATATACATGGTCGAGTGGTATTCTTCAATAAGCTGAGATAGTAAAAATGTAATTTAGTTTTAGGTTTTATGACAATTTTATGTATTTTAAATGTAAATACTTTCTTGGTTACAGGAACTTGGTGTTCATGACTACCTCCCTTTCTTATATTCCAAACTACATAATGTATATAACAGTAAACTGATATTGAATCCTTCCAAAAACAGGATGCAGTACAGGATTAAAGTAAATAATATGACAATATTATGGTTGACATTTAAAACAGATGGACTGGTTAACTTGATTGTCATTTCAAGTCACAGGGTTTGAATACATCATATCAATTTTGGTTATAGTGGGGTAAAATAGGTATAGAAGCCCAGACTAAATATATTTTCTGTATCTAACTCTGCAATGTAAATTATAGAATCAAGATACATGATGGACTTCTAGCAGGAGAAAGTATCCAATTGTTTTAGTTTTGAATTAGTATTGAAGAAAAAGCATCTAAAACCTTTCAGTTAAACATACCCCATATCCATGTGCTGGTACAAGATCCGAGTCTTCAAGAACATGTTTCACTTTAATCAGCTCGTCACCATTCAACAACCCCCTTGACATAAGAGCATACATGATTTTTTCAGTCACTCATATTTCAATAATGAGACAAACAAATAAATAAGTTGATCATTCACCTGTCACTCATACAATGTATATTTTCTGTTAAATTCAAAGTGGCCATGTCAAATTCATGAAGAACAAGAGTTTGTTTACATGATTTATATGGATTCATACACAACAATCCTCTATTCTGGTATACATGTCAAGGATAATTAACATAGATATCTTGTTTATTTAATATGCACTCTTTGGATGATTTTACTGGTCAAATACCAACCTTAATTTTTTAGGTTCAGAGAATATTGAGAAGATGTCTTGAATGTTTTTATACAAAAGACTGTTGACATGCATATTTTGTTCTTTCCAAAATTAGAACAAGTAAAACATCACAACCAGAGCCCAAATATCACATCAAGTTGGAAACTTTTGCAGGAGTTCTGAAAAGTCAAATCTTAGACAAAATTTATATGATTCAAGAGTACTCTCCCCTTGTATTTTCTATTATTGCTAGTCAGTTGAATTATACAACTGTTAAAGTGCTTTCTTTAATACCAATTCTGTTTATTTAAATCAGGCAAAATATAGTATCTAAGCCAACAATAAACAGGCTACACAATGATATTGATATAGTAAATTAGTTTCATATATATGGCTGTTAGGAGGTTGTGTATATATAGCTATAGGGTGTGTCTGTGCCCTGGGGGGATTCTTATCCAATTAGCATGTAGTCTAGTCAAGAAACATTTGTAGATATTTGAAATACCTCCAGTAGTGTATAAGTAAGAATACATTAGTTACAATGTATTTTATAATATCAGAGAGTAAATGCACTGATAGTGAATAACTAGCTACAAGAGGACAACATTAGTCAAGTAAGGATTGTAGTCTTGTTTACAGATGCATGACATATAAACATATTTATTTGAAAACTTACCTCTCTTCCCTTAACACTTACTTATCATAAATGAGAAAACTGAAAGGAGTGTTGTTGTACGTGTTGTAAAACTTGTTGTTAGAGTGTATGTAATGACTGATGAGCATGATGAGAGAAAGCCGTCCTGTGCAAAGACTTAGTTTGTAAGTGTCTGACTCATTGAAATATATAAATAGTAGAACAAGTAAAATACCATAACCCTGGGCGTTAATACTGATTATTAAAAAAAAATGTTTGACATATTTGCCACAATTTATGAATAAAAGCCAGTCCATGACTCTCTTCAGTCACCACCTGAAGTTAAGGTCCTAAATATCACTGAAGAGTCATAGAAGGACAAAAAATGTATGTAATAAAGTTTAAATTCATTATTTTGCTCCACTGTATCTAACTCTGAATGTGTATCAAAGAGTGCTACTCCTAAGAGTGTATTTTGTTCAATCATTGAAAATTAGTTCATTCGAGGAACCGTTGAAATCTGATAGATAATGGATGGACAGAAGGAACTAATATGATATGTGTTCTACCTCAGTTAAACCACTTTTTCCATTTAGATTTTAAAAACTTCAGATAAAAATATGTCCATTTAATACAATAACTACCGGACTATAATGTATCCCTGCTCCTCAAATGCCTGCAGCATGTCCTCCGTAACATCAAAGTCATCACCTTCCATGTTGAACTCTGGTGAAAATACATTAAGAAATAAGTCGAACATAACCAAAGGTTTATCTTCCTATTACATTATCCTTCCTTATATCAACCAGACAGCTAATATATAAAACATATTACTGCCAATGTATACTTATTTAATTGTTTGAATGACCCTATTTAATTTTTCTAAAACAAAATCATAAAAAGTCTGCAATATATAATGATATAAAATGTATGTAGTTTCTGTACTACTTAATTAGCTCTGCAAAAGAGTTATCTTTGCAATTGTTTAAATCATCCTATCTAATTTTTTTCAAAACAAGATCTAAAATATGTTTCTAATAGATGACAATATACTATTGATGTAATTTCTCTACTACTTTGCTCTGTAAAAGAGTTATCTTTAGTTTACTATTTTTTTTATCCCACTCAGAGTTTCTTTGTGTTAATCCATTATCATCAATTATCTATATCACAAAACCAAATAGAGTTTCAATGACAATGGACCATGATTTAAATCAACCAACAAATCAACCATCATTAAATTTTAAATAGTTTTTAATTATACCACTTTTTAAAACTGATTCTGAAAATACTTTTTCCCTAGAATTGTAGCAGACTTGAATAAACTCCTGACAGACATGTTAACTTCCTGATATCTTTAAACCTAATTTTTCATCCCTTGCAAAATCCATTCAAACAGCCCTCTATTATTTCATTTCAATTCCAAATGTTTTGGCAGGTCAATAATTCAGTAAAAGTAACTATCAAAACTGTATATGTTGAGTTAAGTCCTTACAACAGACATTTTGACAGATAGAGGTGTGTGTTGAGTCAAGTTCTCTCATTAGAATGCATGTCTTAGTACTAATTATGTGTTTCGGCCAGAGGAAACTTTCTGTCTGACTACACTTTCATTCAGACTCACCTGCTAATTTGGCCATTTTGTTCTGGTTGCTGTCAGTTCTGAGGTTAAATCTACATAATGAAAAAAAACGTGATAAAACTTATAAATTCTAACATGTTATATTTTCAAACGAGAGAGGAAAAATTTAGTCATCTACCAGTATTCCGTCTTCTGTTAAGTATAATTAATGACCGGTGCGAATGTCGACCATTGGTCAGTTCACAGGGGCACGTTACGTTGCGACTATGCACTGATAACATCCCAATAGCTCAAAGCCTTTAGTTCAAATTATTAAATACTTGGGATCAGAATCTTTTATAGGCAATGATATAGCGCTGATGTTTTACATATGTTTCAATGTTATGCATAGTCTATGAATTGGTCGATGACAAGCACGTTTGCATTAAACTGATCTGATTTGCATGCCCCTGTAACGACCTACACATAGTCACGCGACGTGTGGAATCTCGTGACAGACCTCAGGTTAAAAAAAATGCTAGTAAATTTACCTTGATTCCGTCACTTATTTCTCAGCCACCGACCTCTGCGTATCTCCAACTTTCACGCGAGCTGTCGTAGGATCAAGATATTATCATGTAAAGAACATTTCTAGTCAGGTAGTTTTTTGTTTTTGTTTTTGTTCCAAAACAGGAAGTCGGAAGTCTTTACTTAATATCTTTGCGATGGGTTGGAGACGTGATATAGTTTCCGGATATGCGGAGGGCAATGACCTAATATTTTAGGTATGTGGTATTATGATATTGATTTAATCACGCCAGGATATATGAAAACGGACCGGGTACCCGAAATAATATTTAGAAAATATGGGAACCGTAATTAATTTGAAAAAAATCACATGACGTCTGTCATTGCGAAAGCTATCGAGCACATATACATAAAGAATGCAGAGCTAGTGTCTTAAAATATAAGTTGTATTTTGGCGAGGGTGACGAAAGACAAAGTGTCGGGTTTTTGTCTTTAGTTTCATTATATAGTTTGTAATAACAAGCAATAAGGGAGTAAATTATTTCATTATGATTAAAATTGAAGTGAATAATTAGGTTTTAAAATAATACGCAAAGCTACATTGTTTATTGTGAACACGGCATAAGAAAGTCCACTTGCCCGACGATGAAAGTATGGTTTGATATATAACGATCGTTTTTTTCTGAATATGCTGGACATAATAGTATGAGTCTCGTCCTAAACTTAATTTTTGTCACAGCGGGCACACTCTTTGAGTTACATACAGGCTATGATATCTCCCAGTCTCAAACATTGAGTGCCTGCGTATCCAGTCCTAAAATTAGAAATAATCGTTTTTATCTTTAAAGTTAATGGCTTGGTGAGATAGAATTCGAAGCAAACTGATCTATTATATGCTTATATATAACACACGTCGAAGAATTATCAAAACCGTTTCTTTCATTTGGTACCAGCTATGCCAACCATACATCACCAAAACCCAATGTATAAAGCTCTAGTTTTACATGAAAAACCAAGTTTGCCTTACAATTGGACTTCTGTAATGATCCATTTAAACACGCCTTAAACATACAGTTATTGGTCTTCAAAGGTTTCAGTCAATATTTAAAGTGGAGCTTTAGTGCTGGTGCTCTACGCTGTATGTAATAAGGAAAACCATCAAGTTCGAAATAAACCATAGAGTTACTTAAAAGTTTCTTCACATCCAAAAGAGATTTCAGGGAAGCCCAGACCTCATTGTCGTAATTCAAAGTACATGATATATAAGTATGAAATAATGCCAACCTGGTCTTTTCGTTCAAGTTAAATCATTTTACCTTACGACTAGGTAGGCAATAAGCCTTTCTGCCTTGCGTAGTACTATTATGATGTGCAACAACAAACTTAACATTATAATTAAATACCAAAACTAAATGGCAAAACTGATCTACCACGTTTGTCTTTTCCGTCATATTCCGACTGCTCATTTGATAACAATTTCTCACTTTATCCAAATACCGCAATTTGAGTTTTATCTACATTCACAGTCAAATTCCAACGATCCGAATGCCTCAATAAAAAGTCCAGAATATTTTGAACCTCATCGATATCTTAAGAGAATAACACTGTGTTGTCTGCAAACATAATAAAAAAAAATTAAGTTGTTGAATGTGATAATTCTTACAATTAGATTCAATTAATTCCGGCTCCATGCCATTAATAGATAAAGAAAATATAATCGGTGATAAACATTGGCGACAATTCGACATGCTGCCAAATGCAGGACTTAACACTTTGGAATATAGATTAAATAACGTTCAAAAAACGGTCCCGACACCATATTTCCACAATTTAAACCATAATTGTATCATGTGAAATGCTACCAAAAGCTTTTCTGTAGTCAAGAAATACACACTAAAGCTTTTTGTTGCTATGCAAAGATTTTGTAACTGAACGATGAAGTACAAAAATCGCAACTCTACTACCGCTACCTGGTGCTAAACCGAACTGGGCGTCTGATATGATATTTGCGCTCTCACTCCAATTGTTTGTTCAATAGAATGCCCTATTCACATTAATAATTCACATTATTTTGATCGCCTGTCTTAAAGGTAAATTACCCCCTTCCGACCACATTTTAGGGAAATAATATGTATGTGATATGGTATTAAACAGATTTAGTAAAACTGGTGCCAAAACTTCGTTATATTCAATCGAATATTCATTTAATACTCTGTCCAATCCTGATACCTTACCCTTAGATAGCCCCGTATCTCATCATGATGAAGATTAAAAGCAGTATCTAATTCAGGATAAATCATTCATTATCCATAACATGTTGTTCCTTGTTTCCAGAGGTATCGAAGGACATATTAGAAACTAATTAAAATATTCATAAAACTGATCTAAACTTACACACCAGCATCAAGAATCTAACGCCTTGAAAAAATGTCGATAAAAATATTTTGGAGCAGGATATTTTATAAAACTCTACAACATACAACCCTCGCTTCAACATTGCTTCATACATTTGTAATTTTTCTTGAAGGGAACGAAAACTTTTTCTGATGATTTACACCTGTTAAAAGAGATCAAAGCTTATTTATACAGTGTAATTTACCATTCCATTTGACACAATGTTTAACATGATTACAAATAGATATGATATTTAATAGTCGACCTCTAACACCTGACTTACATGATACGTCATGTATACCTTTCGTCAGTTCTACATGTAGTGTATTTTAAGTTCTCTATTTTATTATCCAATAGGATAAACAACACAAAATACTAAAATGTATTTCACGGTGACAGAGGCATCGCGACTGATTTATTAAACAAACATGTAAATCATACACTAATCTGTTACAAATACACAATATACAATGTATATATGTGTCACTCCTTTCATTAATAACTATTACATTTTACCGCAACAGAAACCCCCACACAGATGAACTTCTATTACATTTTACCGGAAAAAAAATCTCCACGTCCTTGTGTCCCTACCTGTGCCGCCTGAATGACACGTACAGGTAACACGCGACAGTACGGCCCTAGTCTTGATTTGCACGTGCAAATCATACACATAGCGCCCCCTATTGGCGACTCATACCACAGAGAAAATAATTTCATCCTAATTCCAACTCGTCGAACGGTTGAAATTACATTAATGCAATGTCTTATTTAGAATGCGAATTGAGAACTATCTGATCTGTAGCAGTTATCTTTGGGAGTTGTCTCCCTGCAGTCAGTATGATAACATGATAACCCTCCACTTTAAAAACACAATACTGAATACAAACATCCTTTCCCCCTAACCCTTAAGTGTAAAATATTTCCTAATTCTTTATTTATAATGTTTATATTATGCTTTGTAAAAAAAATAAGACATCTCATGAAATACATAACTTGTAAATTGATTAAGTACTGGATCAGTTAACATGCAATAAAATCTCTGGCGGGAGAATAATTTCGCTACAATAATAGTAAGGTTTTGGTATCCCTGCAGTGCATCACCCATCATCCAGTCAATTAAATGCAGTGCAGGGATACAGAAATCTCCCCATTATTGCTCTGCATCTCATTTACTGGATTATGGGTGGTGCACTTTATAAAATTTGAAGAAATACCACAACGACAGTCCCACAATAGTATATAGCATTACATTGTAAACGTATTTTGTAAAAAAAAAAAAAAAAAACAACAACAACAAAAAACAAGATGTAACAGTACACGTATACACTTGAATAACAGAATAAAACTAGGGGTCACGAAAGTGTTTTACAAGCATCATCTGTCACATAGAAGACACATGTCACGTAATCTAGGTCAACCTAGCTGAACAACGAACAACCACAGACAAACGAACGAGTATCGAACATATTGATCCATATTCAATAGAGCGGAGTTGATCATGACTTCTTCATGTTCGAATGTTTGCTCTGTGTACTAGTCTCAATAACAGAAGTCCCAGGACATGAGAATATGACAATATCACATAACGTCCTTGAATTCCAAGTTCAAAGGCTGGTTCTAGATAACCAGTGGTTAGTGAAAAAAAACATCAAATCGTTACCGCTAAAAAAAAGTGATAAAGGCATAACTAGCACTTAAAATATGTTAATCTGACTAGTCTTGGCAAATCTACCTCTATGAAATGATCAATTAAGTTCCATAATTTGTGTTATCATCGTTTCAAATTGTTCACTAACGACTGGTTATTGGTTATCTCTAACCACCATTTGAACAACTAGTAATTGGTGGGTATGTCAGACCGTCGGACATTGTCAAATAATGTCATGTTATTATAAAGACAAAGTAACTATTTTAAAAGTTAAATAAACATGACATCACTTACATGAATTGACGTGGCTTAACGGGGTGGATGTCGTAGATTATAAGATGCTTACCCTTGTAGAACACCTGGTCTAATAACCATTTGTACGTGTGGTAGGGTTACCATGTGAATTTTGTTTTGGCAAAAAAATCGATTTTGGGTTTGGATTATGATTTCGTAACGTGTCGTTATTTTCTCTATATAAATATGGGGTTTTAGAAATACTGGATATGATCCTCTTTGTCTCCAGAAGGATCTGGTTCGAATCACGAACCAACGAAAGATATATCACACATCGTAAAATGTTACCATAGTTGATTTGACAGACAATATTGTTTCAGTGAAAACTCGAAAAAGGCTGCATAAAAAAACTTCAACCTGCGCAGATGATACTGTAAAGAAAACTTCACTTTTCAAGATTTTCTAAAGATCTTACAAAAACAACTTGATCAGTTTGGCAGTTGTTAGTAAAAGCAACATAGATTATACAAGAATTCCATTCGATGAGAATAAATCGGAAGATAGCAATTCCATCCTTGATACGAATGCCATCGTGATCATTGCATTAGTCACGGTGTGTTTTTGTCGACTTTTTCTTGTGATTTCAATATCAATTATCAATATGATATCAAAACGATTGAAAGACTAAAACCCATTTCGGACATGTAATTGGGAAAAAAACTGACATGCATAGCATTTGTTATAATAAAACCTTGAAAAGTCCATTTGATGCATTTGGAGAGCCTTGTTAATGTTTTTATTTCATTTTTTTAACAATCTCACAGTCAGCCAAAGAATCATTGTTGTTTAAGAAGTAATGATATGTTTGAGCCTCTATTTTCAATTTCTGCTGTTATCTGTATAAATGTTATATAGTGCAACCGTAAACTAATTATGTTTTACGTAATAAAAATTCTATATTTGTTGAAGACGAGAAGAGATTATGTTATGGTGTCCGTCTGTCCATCTGTTTACTGTTAAATGCTTCTACAGACAGAATTATCATCGAGATGTCCGAGTGAATTTTGAATGGTCTACAGACCTCGTCATAAACGAAATTCATAATATTACCATGCATGGCCTTAATGACCGCTCTCAATTGCGTCACACGACCGAATCGCGCAAGTAAGTTGCATACTGTCCATAACTGGTTATCTAACTAATTGGATATCGAATAGATGACACAATATCCGCAGATATTACTAGGTCTCGACCTTCATTTGTGAGTGTGTAGTCAGTCTTAAAAAAAACACACACAATTTCGAAGTGTTCAGTACAGAGAGGAAACTCAAAAAGGCCTGATAAGAGCACAAAACTTTCTGTTTTTCAAATGAAGTTTTTTTGTCAGCAACAATTTCACAAAAAATGTGCCCAACATTTTTCGCTCTCTCTCAATATTTTTGTCACTTCTCGGAATAGTTCCCTTATAATTAAAGCGTGTTGAATATTAGTCAGAAATCCACATTCAACGTCTAGATGCAACGATGGTTGACTACGTTGAGTATCAGAAGTTAGCATGTTATCTTTCTGTTGTAACGTGAACGCGACCGGTGCCCACGTCTCTCCAGCCAACGTCATGGTAATATTGTTTCATCAGTCACAACGTGCTTCTTGGATTCTTCATTAAGACGGACGGATATATAGCGTCTTTCCCCAATGTCGCTTGTTGAGAATTCTATAATTCTCATAGCAACTAAAAGTCCGATAGACATGTACAAATAGTATGCACTGATTCAATAAGCAGGATTTGCAGAGTACAGACAGGGCATCAAAACATTGTGCATGGATATATAACCCATGCGGAAGTGATCCAAGACGCTAGTTTGAGGTCCGAGATGCTTCGCCTGCCGTTAGATGTCCCTATCTTCATAAATAGACATAAACCGTGGACAACAGGGTCAGCATTGAATCTACAAGCAATGTCACAATAATTTACTACTTCCAACACATGTCTCTTTCGTTCCACCTCCTTCCAGCACTTCATTTAGCACTCAAAAAAGTATTGTACTCGACTCGAACTCCCAAATCGCAGTTGATATCTGTATTGTTATCACTGTAATATATTGTAATTTGTATGGAACGTGGATTTGGAATTCGTTCCAAGTCCTTGTGGCGGCAGTAACTGCAGCAAAAGTGATCCTATTCTCATAGCTTTTCTAACATTAGGCTACCCTATGACCGGTCACAACACAAAAATCACGGATTCACTATCAAAGAAAATGAAAGAAAGCACAGTGATCATGTATATACTTCATATATTTAAGTTACACGAAGGTTATTTTCTAGACAGATCAGGATACGTTAATATTCACCTATTCCGTAAATATCAGTTGTCTTGTTCCCAATATAGCAAAACACTCAGGGTACGCTTTATGACTTAACGATTAAAACAACCCTTAGCGTAGCTACCGAGGTGTCCTGTTTCATATTGAGCGCGCGCAGAATTACTCACTGCAAAACCTCGTTAACTCTCGCGTGATCATAAATCTGTGGTTACAAGAAAACAATATGGAGGTCGCCACCGGGGGAAGTGGAAAGTTCAATATGTTTACTCACTGCAAATAAACAGCACCATGGCCTGAAATCACAACAGAAGAGTCGAGGATGGATACTTAGCACGCACATCGTATCCCTGACTTCAACATTAGCTATCGAGTCGGGATTTACACGATAAAACATGAAAATGGCGTGTAACTGGTGCAAAGATGACTATTTTTCCTTGTTGATCACCACTGATAAAAAATCGCATGCTGCATTGGAAATGCTTGTGGATGACCTCCATGCAGATAAGGAAGCCACAATTGGAACGTTTCTAAGTCATTCCGGTGCTGAGGATTTTCTTTGGGGTCTTGTTCGACTGCTAGGATGTGACAATCCAAGGTAAGTTGGGCAAATATTTTCAACAGGTGTCCGTCTTGCATGTAGCTTGATTTACCTTTGTGATAGGTCAGTCATTGTTGCGCCACTCTTATTTTGACACACACGTTGTAACATAAATATGTATTGCTTCATTTACAGTAGACAGTTTATACATATCCATTTTATGTTTCCTTCAAGTTTCTGGAACATAAACTATATCTTTAAATATTTGTCAGTGATAATTTTTACTACCACTAACTGTTGAAAGCCAAATCGCAGTCAGTGACACAGTTATTTACTCTGTCGTTTCGAAACAACAAATTTGCTGATATTTTGATGATTTCCAGAACTTTGTATTAATTTCAGTAAGATGTTAATGACTATTTTGTATTAATTTCAATAAGATGTTAATGAGTATTTTGTATCAATTTCAAGAAGACGTTTATGACTATTTTGTGTTGATTTCAATGAGACTTTTATGACTGTATCTTAAATAAATTAAGTGCAATTGTTCCTTTTTTTATTAATAAATCAGTGACACGTTTTATCATTTTGTAGTTTTATGAAAACCACATGCATTATTGGATTTCATATGCATAGTGTATATGAATTGTAAATATTTTAGCATTGTGTACAGGCAGTTGTCTTTGATGTTGTTCGATTTTCACAAACAATCACTCTTTGTGTATATATGTATTTGAATATACCACAAATTTAAAATGTATGTTTAAAAAAAAACACAAACTAAGTCATTTGAAATTGCTACCACCATTTACTGGTATGTAACAATAACTTGTTGAGAATAAATGAATGTACTAGAAAGTGATAATATTGCATAGATGAAACATAAGACTATGTCAGCTGAGTCTCCTATTCAGAAACATGTAAACTTGTATACTAAAGTAGTTTTTCATTTTTTAAAAGTAGGCATTGGTAATCAGATCCCATCAGCATAAAATTTATGATCATATACCAATTTTAAAAACATATATGATGTTATATATGTTATATGATGTACCATACTTTTCAGCTGAGCTTTGAATAAAATATTGGCAGTATCATTTCCATTTGCATTGATCTTGACTAAAATATATAGCAATAACAGTTTTCTTACAGCAAAATGTGTTCCTGTTGTGTATAGGACTATACAGAATATTCTGTTTTGAATTGAATGAGAATTCAGTGAGCTATGAGAACGTATAACACAAGTACATTCTGTATGTATAATGAAAAGTAAAATGATTTTATGCACCACAGGATTAATTGATCTGGAATTGAATATTGTATTGACACTGGAGAAGTGGAATAGATTGATATTTGTGTCTGTGGGGATTATAAACACTCTATCAGATAGTCAGACCAACTCGATGTGTTTCATGTTGTTCACTTTAGTACTGTAATATAATAGATTTGCTATATTTGGCTGTAAGTGTTCCCAAATATTTAAAGAGTAAAAAATATTTTCTTTAGCTTTTTATTATTGAATTGAATTGATTTTAGAGACTGGATATGGAAATTTAATATTTTACTTTTAAACTTAACAATTCATTTTTTTTTTTTTTTTTTTTTCCATGTAATTTTGAATGAAAAGTTTAGTTGTATACATGTATATGTTGTATGAAAACTGAATCAGACATGAAGCAATAAAAAAGATCTTTGTGATTTTGAATGCAGATGGTTTCAATTATTTAAAGTATAGAACATTAATTTGATATGTATTAAACAGTAGGGAGTCATACAATGATTGCTTTGTAACTTGCTGAGGTGATGGATTTGTCTGGTACCTGAATATATAACAATGTATGGAACACTTTTCACATGTGTTATACATGTATATCAAATTTAGTTGTGATTCTAGGTGAGATAAACTACTACAATGTACTTTGTATATATGTAATTAATTCATGGAAACTTGTTCATTGTAACAGGTCTAACTAGTAAATATAAACCTGTTGTATTTTTAAAATGAATAATCAGATCATAGTAATTGGAAGAAAACTCTTCAATAATATCTGCTCTTGAAAAAGCATCACATTTGAGCTTCATGAATAAATTACATCTGTTGTCATCAGTTATTGAAGGCAGTATCCTGACATGACAATAAAGAAATATTTTCAAACAGATGTTTTTAGAAAGAAATGTTTTCTTGGACATTTACATACTGATTTAATTATATTTTGTTGGTCATTTCACCTGATAAAATATTGTATCTTAGAGCTCGAGATATATGTATTATTTTATGAATATGAAATATCAGAAAACATAACATGAAAAAACTAAACATTTCTCTGCAAACTTTAAGATATTGATTATACTATAAAACTGAAAATTTTTTTCACCAAGTATGAAGTATGTAATCAAGCATTCAACTGATTGCATGTATATTTACTCTCAAATCTCTGGGGCTTTCAATTTTAGTTTGAAGATTAGGACCATTTTTTAAAAGGAGAACTTCTTCACTTGAATTTTCTCTATATTTGATGCTATCATAAAGACATCATGACTTTGTACATCCACTAAGTAGATATAATTGGGTTTTTTATTACTTAAGTTTGTACATGTCATTCAATTTTATAAAAAGGTCTGATTCAATTCAGCATTTTCTATTATAATTTTCTGTTGTTCAGATTTTTGATTGCTGGTCTTTTGCCTTAATTAATAGTTACGGCATTCTTAATACTAGGTATTAAGCTCAATTATCACATCCATCATTCTTTATTTATTTTTGTAAATTATCATCACTACATATTTTCCCCTTCAGGTAATAACAGATCTAAGGAAATATACCATACGCATAAATAATATTTTTGACATACCTGGTAGTTATTTATTTTCAATGCTTGTTCAGTTATCATATAGTAAAATTTGAAATTAACTAGAGTTTTAAGAATTATTTTGAATCATCCAATTAATAAATACCAGTTTATTATTAATAGCTTTCAAAGGAATGAATTAAACATGCATCAATAAAACCAATGATATTGAATTATTTCAAGTTACAAAAAATTTTTGAATGGGATTTTATTAAATTTATGACAATTGGTCTGTGTAGGGGTTTACGTACAGTAAAGCACATTGCCAAATTGTAGTTCGTTCTAGTGTATACTTATTGTTGACTGACCGTGTCATATTTCCTTTTTGGAGACCTGGTGGGTGCTTGACTATTTTAGTACATTTCAAATGCTTTGATAAGTATTACCACATGGGTTTACATTTAACATTCTTAATTTGTAATTGTCATTCATACAATTATTAATTACTTATAACCATACCTATGTTGTTCTACAGCATCAATGTCTTTTAGCGAATATCAATGTTGCTTCAATCAGATCACTCGATGAGTTAATGAAGATCAAGCACTGAGCTACAGAATGAGTCAAGTTGCAGTATTGAACATGGTTTATATTTTGTTAGATCAATAAAACATAGAAATATTTCGTATTTATTTTTACAATCTGACTTGTTGAACCAGATTATTATTTTCAATTATAACCAAATATGTTTATTTCAATGGATCCTTGGGTCAAAGAGCAATGTGTAAGTCTCTTTAACTGACGTATCTCTTGGATTGCATATCTCTAGCTATATATCTCTCCAACATTAATATTTCAAGTATTTATTATAAGCATCCCTCAGACTATATGGGGGGGTGGGGGGGGGGAGTTAAGGTTAGTTGAGTTGAAGGTAAGTGAAGGTAGATTACATGTAGGTTGGAATGTAATGTTTCTTACCAGTATTGCTTGTTATTTTTTTCTATTTTCATCCTTTTCAAATCATCTTGTTTATTGTTTGAAAATTAAAAAAATGTTAATATATTGACAAGGATAAAACTTTTACAACTTTTTGTTCTTTTTCTTTCAATCAAACATGTTTAGTAAAATGTATACAAATTGTATTTAAGATTGTAGATTGTCCTGATGACACTTTAATTGACTGTACTTACAGTTAAAGTGATTTTATATGATATGTTTATACTGTAATAAATAACACTTAAACTTAAGATCGTTAAATAGCAGTACAATTATCTAAAAGTTTACACCAGTAAAAGTGTCTGAGCCTCTTTGTGGTGGTTGGTGCCATGGGCCAGAAACCGACTCTAGTCAACAATTCAAATTGCTCTTATGAAGATAGGTTGAGTTTGATTTATTGATGTGCAAGGATTGATTTACCCGTTAATGTTCGTAAAGGTTAGTGGTCGCGTCCAAATTGATCCTAACTGCCAGTGTAAATCACCATGTATTTTAAGTGACAATGACATGGTTCCTCCTGAGGACAGGGTCTGGGCAGAGGGTTTGCTATTCAAGCTGTTACAGCTAGTACTAGTACATACATGTATATATGGAACTGAATATCATAAGCCTGCAGAATGTTGTTAATTTATGCAGGCATAGACATAAATATGTAATGTTTATCAAATTGCTTTCCTTTTTAAATTTTATTTTACCGAAGTTTGATTCAGGTATGAGAAGTTTACCTTTGAGTCTGAATCTCAATTCATTCTATATTGCTTTGTAGAAAAGAGACTAAACCATGCCTGAGGTGGGGTCACAATGGTCGATGTTTAATACATATTGTATATCATTATTGTTGTATCTGTTGATAAAGAAGAAGAATCTAGCAGATGACCCATGTCCCTTAATTTCAACTTTTCTGCGTTAACCACTTTCTTTCTTTGTGCTAAGGAGTAAAACCTTGTACAGAATATTTTCCTTGTCATTATTAGTGGTTTTTTTTTTTTGACCGATACACTGATCCTGACATACACGATACTACTAACAATATCAAGATTAATGTGTCCATCATAAAACTGCAGTTCCTTAACATCATCCATGTCCTAGCACCTAAGTTTTAGCATCTGATGAAACACACGAGGAAACAGTTGTACTATGTAATGATATTAACATGGGCCATTATGTTTGATGCCTTCACTATAAGGTAGCTAACTTTGACAAGGAAAATCCAGTTATGCTTAAAGGTGAATATTCTATGACTAATAGCTAAGTATGTTATGCAAGCTATAG